CCCCCCTCTCCCCCTGTCTTGTGTTTCGTGGCCACTTAGCATTCTCCTAACGCATGAGCAGTGCGGGAAGGGAGCAGGAAGCCAGGAAACATGATTTATCAAGTTACAGGCAGCATCACCTTGTTTTCAAAATGAAAAGTGTCCAAAGAACTTATCCTACGTTCTGACAAGACCTAGGAGAAATGTGGGAATTCTCTCTCTTTTATGGAATTCCAAAGTGAATATCTGACACTCATCTCCAGTAAACTTTAAAAAATCGACTGTTTTACAGGAGGATAAAACTGGGCCTGCGACCCGTTCAACCTTCAGTGGAGAGAAAGTTCCCTGACTGAGCAGGGTACTTTGTTGCCTACACTGGGAACCTTCCATGACGGTAAATTAAATGCCTCTGGGATCAAGACAAAATTCCCCTCAACCACGCAAATTCAAATCTCCCTGCCCCCCACCTCTGCATCCTAAACACAAATGTGATGGGAGGGCATTGAAATTCACCGCGGTTAGTGCCGCTGCCTTTGTCAGAAGGGAAGTTCCAAGTACATCACAATGTCAACAAGAGGTCACTGGATGAAAAGAGGGGAAACAAGGGAAGCTGAGACGCCCACCTGGCAGATCCCAGCGTAGACCCCAGAGCCAGACCCCTGGGGCCGAGTCCCGGCTCACCGCCCGGCTGGGTGACCCACTAAGCCCCCCGACCCGTGCTGTCTGTAGAACGGGGCTCAGAACGTGTGCGAAGCCACGCTGGTCGGCAGCCGTCAAGGGCTTAGTACGAGGTCTGGCGCGTGGGGTGGACGTGGGAGACGCCGGCTGGCCTGTACCGCCCCAAGGCCTGCTAGGCTGGTCACCGCCCCGGGTGTGGTGAGACGCTCTGTCACACACCTCCACCGCCAACCCTTGCCAGCGCCCCTTCTCCATCCCGGCTGCTGTGCGAGGGAGGGAGGGAGGGAGGGACGGAGGTCCAGGCGCTTACCTTTGCCAATGGAGGGAGCCAGTCCGTTCATGAAGCTCCGGAAGGGCTTGCCGGGGGACGAGGGGACGTTCAGGGAGCTGCCTCCCGGCAGGTCGATCTCGCCCGCGTGCTCCCGGAGCCGACCCAGGTCCCGGGACAGCAGGCTGAACTGCTCACTCTGTGCGCGGCATTTCTCCTCTAGTTCCCGTGCCCTGCGCTGCGCGCGGAGACCCGGACCCGCGGTCAGCAGGCGGCCTGGGCTGCTGGAGCCCCGCGTGTCTGCGCACAAGTGTGCGTCTGTGCGTGTGTGTGCACGCGTGTGCACAAGACTGCATGCCACGTGTGCATGGGGGGGTGACAGTGTGTGTGCGTGTGTACTGTGTGCATGTGTGTTGCATGGGTGTGGGCAGTACCGGGTGCCGTGTGCACATGGGTGAATGCCAGTGCGTGTGCGTGTGTATTGTGTGCATGTGTGTTGCATGGGTGTGCACAGGACTGGGTGCGGTGTGCGCATGGGTGGATGACAGTGCGTGTGCGTGTGTACTGTGTGCATGTGTGTTGCATGGGTGTGCACAGGACTGGGTGCCGTGTGTGCATGGGTGGATGACAGTGCGTGTGCGTGTGTACTGTGTGCATGTGTGTTGCATGGGCGTGCGCAGGATTGAGTGCCGTGTGTGCATGTGTTAATGACAGTGTGTGTGTGTGTGTGTGCAGGAGGGCTGCCTCTTTCCTCCACGCGAGAACGGTGTCTGAACAAACTAAGCTTCCTGTGCACCCTGGCCGTCGGCCAGGTTTCCTCTCAGGGCGAACAGTGGGAAAGCACAGGAGCCGAGAAACCTTGCAAACACTCAGATCCCAGCCAACTGCGGGTTGTTCTGGGCTCTGTGCACAGCCCGGGCACTTTGCGGTTGGCACGCCTCACGGTAGCGGCTTGAAATTTGGAGCGTGAGGCGGTGACACAGCCCAGCTTTGTGGACAGCTCAGTCGCTAACCCCTCGATGCAGTTTTCTTGTAAGCTGCAGAGCCCCAAAGCACCCCGCTTTGGCATTAAAGGGAAGTGCTGTTTGCTGGACTGGCTTAGCAACATCGCTGCCATTTGCAGACATCGGAGACATCTCGGGAGCACCAAGGAGCTGGGAGCGTGCCCTGGGCACACGCGGCAGGGAAGGGCGCCACGGGCAGCTCCCCCATTAACCCCCACCTCTGCCTGCTCTTGGTTCATCAGCTGGGCGGGCGTGACCCAGCCCCTCTCCTCTCCCTGGGGAACCATGATGCACACTCCCTACACCTCCTCCCCTGGTGCCCTTTCTCCTGCTGTCGGAACTCCCTGCCCTGGGCCGCCGGACGAGGGGCACGGGGAGGGTCCGCTCTGCCCCCTCCCCTGCAAGCCCCCTTCCTGGCACATTCTAGTAGCTGCCTGATTACTTCTCGTCTGCCTCCGAGACTAGATCATTTACGCGCCAAGCTTGTGCTTTCTGGTTCCCTGAGACACCCACAACGCGTCGCATAGCACTGGCACATCGCTGGTGCTCAGTAACTGTTTGCTGAAGCAGAGAAGAGGGGACCCCCTGATTTGCAGGCATCACGTTCCTAGAGGCAGCAGCTCGTTTCATCTGCATGGAGGTCCTGCCTTGTCTCCCTTCCTCAGTCCGTGATAAGTGGAAAATCCCATCTGCTGTATCATTAACCGTGGGCACCGTCTGGCTTCCTCCACTAAAATGTCAACTCCACGAGAGCAGGAATTTTCGTCTGCTTCTCTACCGCTGTGTCCCCAGCAGTCGGACTAGAGCTTGGTACCAAGCCGGGGCCTGAGAGCTGTTTGGTCTCATGGAGGTGTGCACACAGGGATGCAGGACAGTGGTAGACCGATGCTCTCTTCCTCTTCCCATCCCCCCACTTCCCTGTCCCTCCTCCACTGGTGTTAAGCTTTTCAGCTCCTTAGGCCAGAATGAAGTGCTGGTTATGTCTGAGATCATGGAATTCTAAAAACAGACCTAACAAATCCCAAACCAGTAATTAATTTCTTCGATGCATTTAACAAAATCAGCAGGATTCTTCTCTTAAAAGGCTGAATGAGCTTGGCTACGATTGCTGTCACCACCAAGGAAGGCACAGAAGTGACGCCGGGCGCCCCTGGGCACAGGTGGGGATGTGGCGAGATCCGCCTCCCGCCCGGGCACCCCCCATCGGGGAGACGCGGCACCCGCCCAGGAGCAGCGGTGACCCGAGGATGGCGGCTTCAGATGCCTCAAGGCCAAGGGTTCTGGCTCTCCCTGCTCAGCCCTGAAGACGAAATGTTTGCTCCAGGGCTGAGCGACAGGTCCTCAGGCAGGGAACAGTCACCAACAACCCAGCCTCAGGCAAGAAGGGCATTAGAAGAGCCCTGAGCTCACCTGTTCATCCAGGTGTGCCGCCAGGTGCCGTGGTGGCGTGTGTGGGAGGGTGTCAGGTGAACGTGGAAGAACACAAATGCCATTTAGATGGCCACGTCCTCATTGTAATGTGCACAAGAAAAACACAACTGGTAATCAGGTCCTTCATGTCGCGTGTGTGTGAAAAGTGAACCAACCCAAAAAGCAGATAGATTTTTCATTGACGTAACATTCGTGAAATGACAAGACTAAAGCAGCGGAGAGCTGATCAACGGTTGTCAGGGTCTGGGGTTGGTGGGAAGGTCCGAGTACTAGGAATTAAGATGAGGGCGTGTCTTTGGGGGGTGGAGCCATCTGTATTCCCGGTTGCGGTTCATGAATCTATATGTACCATCAAATTCCACAGAATTAAGCACCGAAGCAAGGGTAAAGAGCGAGTCTCTGTAGTTTGGTTACTGATAACTGTGCCTGCGTCAGCTTCCCGGTTTCAACAACGTACTCTGGTCACCTACGACGCTGTCCTTGGGGAGGTGGCTGAAGGTACACAGCGACCATCTGTGCTATTTTTGTAACTTCTCGGGAGTCTCGAAATTATTTCAAAATAGAGAGTTTTAGAAAGTGAACGGATTTAAAGAAAATACGAAATAATCATGGAGAAAATCTCAAAGGCGGTACATGAAAAGCTGGCATTGTGGGAATATCAGATCGGGAGCCTTGAGCGTTAGAGCGGCCGAGGTCTCAGGAGCCCACGTGGAGGTCGAGCATCTGAGGCGCCTGGAAACAGGCCCCTGGCGGGAGCTCTTGATTTGCTGGGGCCGGGGGCGGGCGGCACAGAGAGGAAGGAGGGCAGGCTGTGTGCTCCCAGCAGGCCCTGTGGGACTCAGACCAAAGCAGAGAGAAAGGTCGGGGCTCACGCAGGGGTGCTGAACTGCTGCACGTTTTAGGTGCTACAGTGAACTCCACCTCCCGGGCACCACTGCCGGCCGGCCAGGACCCCAGCTCTTGGAGGGCCTCCTTCCAGGGAGCGTTTCTTTGTTCAGGGTCCCCTTCACTGACGGGGACTGTGGCAGGCGGTTCTCCCCGGCAGCTGGCACAGGACGTACCAGTAGAAGGGGGGCTGGCTCTGACGTGAGTGATGAGGGGAGGGTCTTGGCAGCAGGTGGATCGGAGCTGATGTCAAACCATCTTTGTAACTTGAACAGCCCCGGAGGTGGTGGGAGATGCCCATGAGAGGAGGAGCGAGGCAAACCCCCAGGATCTTGGGGACCACAGTGAACCAGAGTGAGTACATTCTGTCCGGAGGGGCGTCTACCTCTCAGCATCGGTCCAGACCCACCCTGGGCAAAACTTCCGGTGTTCAGGGAATCTTCGTTTTGATGTAAAATCTCTCAATCGTTAAACGTCGCTGGAGGGTATTTCGAAGGCTTGCGAACAGTCTGTCCCGACAAGGCTCATGTACAGGTGGACGTGGCCTGGGGGCAGCCCCTTTGTGATTAGCACCTTACATGACAACGTGGATGGCAATCCCGGCATCCGGTCAGGTTGGGCTGGATGGCCGTGGTGGCCCTGTGCATGGGCTCCAGCTGCACCCGCCTAAGTCCCTGACACACAGGATGATCCCCACAGGGTCTGGAGCCAGGGGGCTCTGGGATCTGTAGTTTATTAATACAGTCCTTCTGGATGGAGAGAATATGTCCCAGGGACCTGAACTTCATTCTGGGGCAATCGGTGTCGTAACTGAGAATCCCACCCCAGGGGAGGTCAATGCACGTGCTGGGAAGGCTACACTCCAGAGGCCGCTGCCCCGAAGCCATCGGCCACCTGCATCTCCATCCATGCCCAGGCACGCCCACCTAGTATGGTCGATATCAGAAAAAAAATGGGTAACCCTAACCCTAACCCCAGCCCTAGACATGATGAATGAGAGACATGGGCGTTTGTTGGTGAAATTAAAGGTATTCAAAATATGGGATATCTTAGCGCTACCCCACCCTTGAATGAATAGTGCGTAAGACGAGTGTGTTTTGGGGGATGGCGCCCAAGGCTGGGTCTCAGAGTGGTCTTGTGTCCAGATCCTGATTCGGAGGATTTCTGCTTTTGCCCGAGGCCGCCAGAACCAGGGCTGGGGCGCCGGCTTCCTTGGGGGCTGATGGAGGAGGGATGTGCCACCGTCGCGCCTTCTTGTCAACAAGCGTTTCGTAATACACGTCTGCACACGTGCGACAATTTGGTTTGAGACTTGCTTCCATTGTGACCCGGGAGCGAAGCTGTAGGGCTAAGCCTCTCCCCCCTCGCATTTCTACCCCAAAGGTTCTAAGAGTCCTGCGTGATCACACCTAATTCTTTGCCCCTCTCTTATCAATTCCTTGCTTTGTTTCTCCTCTGGGCATCCGAGGACACGGCTTCAAGACAGCAGGATGACGATTCCCAAAAGTCAGGCAGCTTCCAGATGCCTTTCCTCATTAATTTCAGGGGGGGAGATGGTCTGAACAACTAGGAGATGAGGCGTAGGGACCCATTAAACCGGAAGAACATCCCACAGGTGAGCGCTCCTTCCGGAAAGTTCACCATGCTTCCCTGCTGTTTCCCGCTTCCAGGAAGGAAGCAGGTGTCCCTTCCAGAGCCTCCATGGACACCGTCTCCGGGCCTGGCTGCAGCTGGCGGCAGCTGGGTCTCTGATGCTGAGCCCGGCAGCTGGGGCTAAGTGCCTCGGGTGGTCCCCAAGCTGCTACCAGAAGGAACAGCTTCCAAGTGATGCAGAAAGCAAACAGCAAGCCCACTGTTGGGTCCGGCTGGCTTACTGGGGTGTCAAGATGGATTTCAGGACTCAGAGCACCATCAGCTC